GGGAGTGCAGACGTGTGGTGTTGCGATCGGGTGGAGCTGGTGGGCACTGGGACTGGAGGTATGGGCACTGGGAGAGGGCTGAGGGGCACTGATGCTGCTGCTCAAGAGCCTCGGTGGGCACGGGGGGCACTGGGGGGCACTGGGACTGGAGGTATGGGCACTGGGAGAGGGCTGAGGGGCACTGATGCTGCTGCTCAAGAGCCTCGGTGGGCGCTGGGGGCACTGGGAGGGACTGGGAGGGGATTGGGGGGGACTGGGGGCACTGGGAGGGACTGGGAATGGAGTTACGGGCACTGAGAGGGACTGGGGGGCACTGGGAGGGGTTATAGGGGGGTCAGGACAGACCTGGGGGCACTGGTGCTGCTGCTCAAGAGCCTCGGTGGGCGCTGGGGGGGACTGGGAGGGACTGGGGGGCACTGGGAGGGGTTAAAGGGGGGTCAGGACAGACCTGGGGGCACTGGTGCTGCTGCTCAAGAGCCTCGGTGGGCACTGGGAGAGACTGGGAATGGAGTTATGGGCACTGGGAGGGGACTGGGGGGCAATGGGGGGCACTGGGAGGGGTTAAAGAGGGGTCAGGACAGATCTGGGGGCACTGGTGCTGCTGCTCAAGAGCCTCGGTGGGCACGGGGGGCACTGGGGGGCACTGGAGGGCACTGGGGTGACACGGGGGGTTTGGGGACATGGAGGTGACACGGAGGTGGCCCCGGGGTGTCCCCAGGCATCAACGACCTGATCCACTTCGACTTCCTGGACCCTCCCCCCCACGAGACGCTGGTGCTGGCGCTGGAGCAGCTCTACGCCCTGGGGGCCCTGAACCACCTGGGGGAGCTGACCACGGTACTGGGAGCACTGGGGGGGACTGGGAATGGGGGCCCTGAACCACCTGGGGGAGCTGAGCACGGTACTGGGAGCACTGGGAGAGATGGAGGGAGAATTGAGATGAATATGCAGTGTCCAGAGTTTAAATAGACATAAAAGATAATGAAGGTGGGGAGGGGGGGAGGAGGGAGGAGAGATTGTAATCAAACAAAATGATTTTGGTCCTCTTCAATCATCCCTGGTTTGCAGGCTGTCATTTTATACAAATTAGAGCTAGGGTAATTGTATGAATATTCACTGGGATTGAAATCACGTTTATTAAAGGGAAGGCACTCTTCTCAGGGCCCACTCCGCCGCGCGGCTTTTGTTCGCCTGGAACAACAGGAAAGTCACTTGTGCAACGAATGAGCACGGGATCCACGCCCCTCCCCTCTTAGGGGCTGGGATTGGGGTCCTGGGGGAATGCTGGGGCTGGCAGGGCGCTCTTAGGGATGGGTGGCCTTTTCCCTTGGACTGAGAAGCAGAGGGCTGTGTGGAAGTGCCCATCTTGGGAATAGCAGCCATAGCCTGGGAATTGGCTCTTCACCCTGCCTGCTGAGGGGGGAAAGACAATTGAACCAGTAATATCTTGAAACCATTTGGGATTAAATAATTGCCACATTTTTCAATAATAAGTCCAAATTCATATTAATAATGTGATGATATTATTATTATTATTATTATTATTATTATTATTGCTATTGTTGTTATTATTATTTCCCGCCCTTTAAGCTCTGCTGCTGAACAGAATTCTTCCTGCTCAGGAGTCCGACCCAGGTCTGAGTCTCACATGCCTGGCACCACGCTGGGGACAGCTCCTCTCATACATAACCAATCAAAGATGTATTCAGGGCCGTTGTGAGGAAGCTGGGGATGATTATAAGTCGAGCTATCCAAGCCTTTTGCTGACTGCTCACCCTCGCATATTATGAAATTTCTCTTAGAAGGGCAGACAAAGCCTTTTGAGCCCGTGTATGGTGATGGCCTCGCTTGGATGTCTGGCTTTAACCGCTTCACAATGTCAGCCTCTCATTTCTGAAAAAAGGCGAACGTATCCCATTGTGGCATGTCAAGTACCCAGCGCTGCCATTCAGCGGCCCGGCCGTGGCTGTAACCCATCCTCAGGTTGTCACGGCAATGCAAGGAGATCGCTCTCCGCTCGGTAGCCGGCGGCAGGAGGAAGGCGAAGCTGACCTGAAGCAGAAACGTTCATTTAAATATTTGATTGTGCCTTAGCCCAGTTGGTGTTCCTGTCCCTGTCCCTCTGTCCGTCTGTCCCTGTCCCCCTGTCCCTGTCCTTCTGTCCCTGTCCCTCTGTCCCTGTCCCTCTGTCCCTGTCCCTGCTGTCCCTGTCCCTCTGTCCCTGTCCCTCTGTCCCTGTCCCTGCTGTCCCTGTCCCTCTGTCCCTGTCCCTCTGTCCCTCTGTCCCTGTCCCTGTCCGTCTGTCCCTGTCCCTCTGTCCCTGTCCCTCTGTCCCTCTGTCCCTGTCCCTCTGTCCCTCTGTCCCTGTCCCTCTGTCCCTGTCCCTGTCCGTCTGTCCCTGTCCCAGCTGGGCCGGCGCATGGTGGAGCTGCCGGTGGAGCCGATGTTGGCCAAGATGATCCTGGCGAGCGAGCAGTGAGTGACAGACGTGTCCCCAAGCGTCCCCAAAGTGTCCCCTGGGTGTCCCCAGTGTCCCATCTCCCCTGTCCCAGTGTCCCCTCAGTGTCCCCACCGTCCCAGGTACGGCTGCATGGAGGAGGTGCTGCCGGTGTCCCAGTGTCCCCTCAGTGTCCCCAGTGTCCCCAGTGTCCCCAATGTCCCCTCACAGGTATGGCTGCACAGAGGAGGTGCTGCCGGTGTCCCCAGTGTCCCCTCAGTGTCCCCAGTGTCCCCGCTGTCCCCTCAGTGTCCCCGCTGTCCCCTCACAGGTACGGCTGCACGGAGGAGGTGCTGACGGTGGCCGCCATGCTCTCGGTGAACAACGCCGTGTTCTACCGGCCCAAGGACAAGGTGCTGCACGCCGACAGCGCCCGCGTGGCCTTCAGCGTGCCCGGGGGCGACCACCTGGTGCTGCTCAACGTCTACAACCAGGCACGGGGACCCCGGGGACAACGGGGACAGCGGGGACACCGGGGACAGCGGGGACACCAGGGACAACGGGGACAACGGGGACATCACGGACACCGGGGACATTGGGGACAGCGGGGACACCGGGGACTGCGGGGACAGCGGGGACAGCGGGGACACCGGGGACAACGGGGACACTGGGGAGACAACGGGGACACCGGGGACACCGGGGACAGCGGGGACATTGGGGACACCGGGGACAACGGGGACACTGGGGAGACACCGGGGACAGCGGGGACACCGGGGACAGCGGGGACACCAGGGACAACGGGGACACCGGGGACATTGGGGACAGCGGGGACAGCAGGGACAGCGGGGACACCGGGGACGTTGGGGACACCAGGGATATCGGGGGACAGCGGGAACAACAGGGACATGGGGGGTGTGGAGAACAGTGAGGACATTGGGGACACTGGGGACACCAGGGACATCGGGGACATTGGGGACACCAGGGACATTGGGGACACTGGGGACACCAGGGGGTGTGGGGACTTGGGGACAGTGGGGACACCAGGAACATCCAGGACATCAGGGGTATCAGGGGGCTGGGCACATCGAGGACCTTGGGGACATCAGGATGTTGGGGACATCGGGGTGTGGGGACACGACAGCAGCCAGCAGCAGCACTGACCGTGTCACTTTCTGTGTCCTTGTCCCCCCCTGTGCCAATGTCACCATGTGCCTCTGTGTGTCCCCAACGCTGTCCCTGTGTCCCTGCGGTCCTCTGCTGTTCCCCCTTGTCCCCGCTGTCCCCCATGTCCCCGCTGTCCCCCCCAGTGACAGTGTCCCCTCTGTGTCCCCAGGCCATCACGGCCGGGTTCTTTTACCACACGGCGCGCCTGGCGCGGGGCGGGTACCGCACGGTGAAGCACCAGCAGCCCGTGTTCATCCACCCCAACAGCGCCCTGTTCGCCCTGCAGCCCCGCTGGGTGCTCTACCACGAGCTGGTGTGCACCTCCAAGGAGTTCATGAGACAGGTGGGGACACGGGGACACCTGGGGACACCTGGGGACACTGTGGGGACACCTGGGGACACTGTGGGGACACACTGGGGGCATGGGGACACAGGGCAGTGCGGGTATGGGGACACGAGTGACACACGAGGGACACGCTGGGTGCTCTGCCACGAGCTGGTGTGCACCTCCAAGGAGTTCATGAGACAGGTGGGGACACGGGGACACCCTGGGGACACACTGGGGGCATGGGGACACCTTGGGGACACCTTGGGGACACCGTGGGGACACACTGGGGGCATGGGGACACGAGGGACACACGAGGGACACGCTGGGTGCTCTGCCACGAGCTGGTGTGCACCTCCAAGGAGTTCATGAGACAGGTGGGGACACGGGGACACCTTGGGGACACCTGGGGACACCTGGGGACACTGTGGGGACACACTGGGGGCATGGGGACACAGGGCAGT